GCGGAGCGACTTCTAATGTGCGTCGGGCCAGGCTGCACTGGCACGGCTTCGACATCGAATCGGATCGGCTGCTCCAGGATGCACGACAGCGCTCATGCCTGGAGCCGGATCGGAGCACCGGAGCCGAATCGGATCGGGCTGGCCAGGGCCGGTACACGTCGTTCATTTCTAATCGTGCTCATTTCTACTTGTGCTCGCTTCTGATTCTTCCTGGCCCCCTGGTGGCCAGAAAGAGGCCCAGGATAGAAGCATTCGAAATGAACGGATCTTGGCTCCCCCAGAATCCCCCAAAAACTTTCGAATACTTAGCAATGAACAGTGTGCATCGAACCCGACCGATCGGACCTCCGTGGGCCCTGCAGTGGGCCCAGGGCCGGCGCGAGAGCTCCGCGCGGAGCCCCGGCGCTTCACGCCCGTGCGGCTGGCGGCTTCTCTCGAGGGCCTCTCTCTCTGGCGGCGCGCGCCGAGGGGGGGTGCCGCGAGGGTGGGCGGCCCTCCGAGGAGGCGGCGGGGGCTTCTGAGGAGGTCGAGGTCGAGGTCGAGGTCGAGGTCGTCGTCGTCGTCGTCGTCGTCGTCGTCGGCGTCCTCGTCGTCGGCGTCCTCGTCCTCGTCTTCGGCGTCGTCGTCGTCGTCGTCGTCGTCGTCGTCGTCGTCGTCGTCCTCGTCGTCGGCGTCGTCCGCGGGCGGCTTCTCAGCACCCCCGCTCGGCTTCTGAGAGGGCTGCTCGGAAGCCTCCAGGCCCTCCCGAGTGGGGGAACCACAGGGTACCGCCAGGTCGGGCATGTCCTCCTACGGGCGGGTCTTGGAAGAAAATCGAAAAACAGTCAGCCAATATTCAAACATAGCAGAACATGGTCCCCAGAGTATTTTTTGACTACCTTTGAATTTTCCTCCTGTAGAGGGATGTGCCCGACTTATAAGTACCAGTGCCGCAAGCTCCCCGGAAGCCTCTCCCGGGGTGCGTCCTGACCCGGACGTCGAGGCGTATCCAGCGGTGGCGACGAGGGCATCCCAGGAGGCCCCCGAAGAGGAAAACGAGGGAAGGGTGGAGGTGTGGGTACCTCTTCCTCCTTTGACTGGGAGTCCCCCCGATCTCGACGAGGGTATATTCGGGCGAGGGTACGTCGGGAATCTCTGAGATCCCGAGGCTCTGGAGGGCGCCTCAGATCGCCGCGGCCTTCTCACATCGTCCCGGAACGCTCCGAAAGGGTTCCGGAACGCTCTGGAACGGATCCATCCTCGGCCTAGCCCCGCCCGACCGCCACCTCCTGGGGGTCCCAAACCCGTGCGGTGACAGGCCGCGCGGTGATGTCGGGACCCCCCGTGAGGACCTCGCCGCGCGGTCCGTCGCCGAGGCGGCTCTGAGGCCCTGGGTGCCCCAGCCGCCCGAGATGTCCTCGGAGAACGACCCGAGGCCCCACAGCTGTGCGGTCTCCCCGACTTCCCACGGACTCGCCACACTGTGGGGGCATGTGCTCCTACAGGCGGATTCTGGAAGAAAAGATGCCAAGTAATTCAAACATATTTTGAAACAGATTCAAAACATGATAGAACATCGTCCCCAGACTGCTTTGTAACTAGTCTTGAAAATTCCCCCTGTAGAGGGACATGCCCGACTTAACGCTACTCCCTGGACCTCTCCAGGGGTGGGCTCCGACCAGACTCTCGAAGCGAGTCCAGCCGTGGCGATGAGGGAAGGGTGGCGGCATCGGTGTCCTGTCCACTTCTGGCAGGCGCCGTGTGGCCACCGGCACCGCTGGGCGCCCCTCGAGCTTCTCTCGTCGCCCGACCTTCACGGAGCCCTGGAGGTCCACCAGCGCGAAGATGTCTTCCCCCGGCTCGGGGAGCCTGCCCCCCACGGGCAGCCTCGCGCGCTCCTCACCGTCCTGGGCGGGTCTTCCAAGGGCTCAGGGCCTCTCGAGCGCGGGGGCCGCAGGCTGGGTGCGCAGAGGGCGCCCGTGAGATGCAACCGCCAATATGGATTATGGGTCCGTAGATCTGGCGCGCGGCCGCCAGCTCCACGGATCGGGCGAACTGCCCACCTCCCGCTCAGACCAGCCCCACCGAAACGAGAAACCAATGCCGCCGGATTCGGCGACGGAGCGCGCCGATGTCACACGCAAGCGGGGCTCGTCGCCGCTCCTCCACGCGCCTTGAGCCGTGCTTGCGCTTCCCCGACACTGGGCCGAACATCGCAGCTCGCGACCGCGCGGGTCTCCTGGGCGCTCCCCCGTGACCACGGCCGTCCGCAGCTTGAACATCTGGCCAAGACGGCCCTCTGGAGGAGTGAGTCCGTGGATCGACCCTGTGGGAATTCGAGCAAAAGGGACCACAACATAAAGCACACCGGCCTGCGCCACCACCGTGAATGGCCAGGGCCATCCTAGATATCTCCTATCTGGGTTCCGAGTAGATGGTGCCGGAGGATCGCGCCGCATCGCCGATGCATCGGCGATGGAGAGGTGATGCGTCGTCGACGTCGGCGATGCATCGGCGACGTCGGCAAGAAGCAAGTCGGGCCCCACATCGAGCCACATCGGCGATGCATCGGCGATGTGGCGCGATCCTCCGACCCCATCTACTCGGACCCCATCTGGGAGGCCGAAATAATCCTTTACACTGGCATGACGTTTAGACCCCCCCGGCCAGGGCCAGGCGGGTCTAGACGCCATCCCAGGGATGGAGCTGGCCTTGGCCAGTGGCGGTTGTGGTGTGTGGATGGCTTCTGCGGAGGAGGCCGCCGGATTGCTCGGCTGAGCGGACTCCGAAGGCTCAGAAGCTCAGAAGGGCTGGAGCTGCGATTGGAGCTGCGCCGCTGGGAGGAGGGGGAACAGGAGGAGGAGGAGCAGGAGGAGGAGGAGGAGGAAGAGGAGGAGGAGGAGGAGGAGGAGGAGGAGGAGGAGGAGGAGGAGGAGGAGGAGGAGGAGGAGGAGGAGGAGGAGGAGGAGGGGGGGAACAGGAGGAGGAGGAGGAGGAGGAGGAGGGGGAGGAGGAGGAGGAGGAGGAGGAGGAGGAGGAGGAGGAGGAGGAGGAGGAGGAGGGAGGAGGAGGGAGGAGGAGGAGGAGGAGGAGGAGGAGGAGGAGGAGGAGGAGGAGGAGGAGTGCTGTCCTGGGTGGCCTGGTCTCGAACTTCGCGTCGTTCGGGGCGTGACTATCGTCGCGTTCCTGCGCAGCCCCCGCGGACAATCCACCGCCGTGCCCTGGGGCACGAAGTAGAGCGCCCTCAGGTCAAGGCTGCATAGAGGTAAGCGTGCTGGTGGCCTTGCCTCTGCCGACGCGCCAGTGGCGCGAACCCCCTATGTAATTAATTCGATGATCAAGCCGAAAGGGGCCGCCGCGGCCAAGCCTGGCCACAAGCAGCAGGTCAGGCGGCAGGCGGCCGCCGGCCAAGTCCAGCCTGCCGCCGAGAAGCGGGGCAGAGGGAAGGAGGGAGGGGAGGGGCCGCCCGGCCGCCTATGCCACCCCCGCCGGTGCAGCACCAACACCACCGTCGTGCGGGGTGCATCAGAGGTGGGCGTGCCGAGCAAGAAAAGGCAATGGCCTTCCCTCTGTCGGCGTGCCAGTGGCACGTAGCGCCCATGGCCAGAGGAGTGCCCTCAAGTCCCTTCGAGTTCTCTGTGTTGAATCTTTCTGAACTTCAGAGGGCCCAGGGCCGGGGTTCTTGGGCGCCTGTGGACTGGCCAGCGTAACTTTTCCCGAAATTAATACGTTGACCAACGTGGACCCCAAACAATAAGTTATTACGCTGTGGATGTGTACGCTATGTGATGCAGTCTACATGGTGCAAGGTATGCGGTGCAAGCTATGTCGAGCAAGCTGCGTGGTGCAACCTCGACGAACCCACCGCGCGTGGTGGGCGGCACCGAGGCGGCAACGGGCGGCGACGCGGCGAAACCTCGACAGATCGCGAAATTGGCGTTAGCGAGGCGGCAAAGCCTCGACAAGACCCCCCAACGAGGCGGCAAGCGGCTGCGACGCGGCGAAAACTGGACCTCCCTCCCAAGTGAGTGGCAACGGGGTGGCGATGAGCGGCGATGCGGAAAAGCCTCGACGGACCCCCAACGCGGGCGGCAACAAGGAGGCGACGCGGCGACGCGGCGAAGCCTCGACGGACCCCCCAGGTGGGCGGCAACGAGGCGGCAAGCGGCTGCGACGCGGCGAAAACTTCGACAAGCTCCCCAAATGAACGGCAACGAGGCGGCAACGGGTGGCGACGCGGCGAAACCTCGACAGACCCCCACCCCCAAGTGGGCGGCAACGAGGCGGCAACGCGGCGGCAACGGGCGGCGACGCGGCGGAACTTCGACGGACCCAGCCAACTCCTCAGTGAGATACGTGAGAATCCTTGAGTGCAAGCACTGATTGGGGAAGCATTGACACCCATTCTGTTCTTTCGATGCTTTTGGTCTCTGATGGTTGGCACGGGAACTTGTTCTGCAAACCCTTGTGTGCCAAGATGGACCCCGAGACCGAGAAGAAGCTTCCTGGATGCCTCCAGAGGCGCACAAGAGGCCCCAAGAGGGCTGCAAGACGGCCCCAAGCGACCCCCAGGAAGCGCCCCAAATAGGCCCCCCCCCCAGGGGCATCCAAGAGGCCCACTGGAGACGCCGCGGGTGTAGGCCTGCGGCTCGTCAAGCCCATCCAAGAAGCTGTGGTAAGCGAAGAAGAGAACCTCCGCGCCCTGGAATTCCTTAAGTGAGATGTACTCGGTGCGACCCTCTGCGCAAGGGCCAAAAAGGGGCTTCGGTGTCAGAGCCCCGCCCCTCCCCCTTCGGAGGTCGCTCTCTGACCATGCGTGCTTTTCACTGCCGCAGCCATGGCACTTGAGGGGCTTGCCATTTCGGCCCTGGGGATCGCCTCGTCTGCCCTGGCCCTCCCCAGACGTCCTGCGGCCACGGCCTTACCCTTTGCCCCAAAAAGCTCGTCGCGATCATTGGCGCATTCTGTGATAAACGCATCAATGCCCCTTCCGTGCAGGCGTCTCCGCCCTCCTGCGCCTTTGCTGCCTATTATCACTCTCCTGATCTTTCGCCTCGCCCGTCGTACTGGCTTACGCGTGAACCTCCCCCGCCTCCGCTTAGCCTGTTGCATTAACCAGAAGAAATGCTCCCTCCGTGCATCGTTGTTCCCCATACTTTGGACATCCGTCCAATCCAACTCTTCAATACCACTGGAGGAACCAGTGTCGGAATCCGTGCCAGAGCCGCACTCAAGAGCGGTGGCGTGTCGAGGCTGTGTTGTAGTGAGTGCAGAGCTCCAGCTCGATGGGTCAGAGCTGGGACGGGACGCCCAGGGTCGGGCAAGCAGAGCGGAGGCCCACACGCCGATGTTGTGCCCGCCTCCAGGCTCTGAAATGCCAGTGGCAAACACATGGTGAGCACTTCTGTTGCCACCACCCCTGCCCCTCCCGAACGCTGGGCCGACGCTCCCTGGAGAGCGTTCTGTAATGTCTCCTACGGACCGCGTGTGCTCAGGTATTGCTTCGTGCGCTGCTTGGGTGCGTGGCATCTGGCTGTTGGCTGGTTGGAGTAGTTGCAGCGGGCGCTGCTCGCCGACGCCCAGAGCGCAAAACAACACTGTGGTGTTGAATTCAAAGGTATGTCAAATCCTGCCGGCTGTGCTCTATGCGGGCCATCTCGATCCTGGCAAGGTTTCCATCGATGCGCTCATCATGTGGCACGTGGAAGTCGATCAGTTGAGACCCCGAGGCGAGCTGGCGCTCGTCCTCAAGGTGTTCAAATTTCATGCGCAGGATGAAGATGAATGATGTGGATTACGGGATCGTTGTGGGTGCCACGTATGCCCACGTCGAAGTTTATGATGTCAGGAGGTATGCACGTGGCGATCTTACGCGCAATGCCCCCATCCCCCTGTTGGAGGGTTGCTGCTTCTTGCCGAGGGGTCATGCGGGCACCTGCAAAAACCAGCCAAGCGTTGATCTCATACATATACTCCCGAAGCGGTACACTCCCAGCAGGGTCCCAATATGGAGGTGAAATGCCATCATTGCGGCCACCACGGTGCATGTACCCGATAGCGGACCCGATGCGCGGCCGCGCGAGAGCATCAATTATCGGCCCCGCAAGTTTCAGACGATAGTTGGACTGTGCAGGCGCATTTCTGCGCGTGGCTTCCGTTTTTGTGGGTGCGGTCAAGCGTCATGGTTTGAGGCTCGGCCAACTTCTTTGCGGCATGTTTCCATGCTTGAATCGTTGAGAATTACCAAAACCTTCTTTCATTGGAGATACTGGTTTAATATATTGAAATAACTTCGACGTTGTGACGGCAGTCTGAGCCTCTCGTGTAGGATCTTGTCGTTTGACCTCGTTTCCGAATTCATCTCGAACACATCCACGGAATCGCGGATGGAGTGTGGGCTTAGGGTTGGAAGTGGCAGCGGTCACGTAGATCGTGCCAGAGAGTAGTAGAAGGAAAACAAGAGCCAGTCACGCGAGAACGCGGCCAACTGTGCTAACAAATCGAAGCTAGTGTTACCGTCATATCGCACTTCGCTGCCATACTGAAGGTGTGTGGAAAGAGATGTACTGGTACTAAGTGGGACAGGTAGCGTACTATCATTCTCTCGGATCGGCTGCACGGTTGTGCGGCGTCACGTCGGGTGTGCAGACCTCGAGCCAAGACAGCCGAGTAACGCGATCGATATACCCTTGTCGTCTCCCTTCAAAGTCAGGCGGCCCCGGAGGCCTACAGAACAGCCCAAGACGACCCCAGAAGCCCACAAGAGGGCCTCAAGACGGGCCAAGAGGGCCCAAAGAGTGCCCAGGAGGCCCCCAAGACGGCCCCACATACCTCCAAGATGGCCCTAAAGCGTCCAAAGATAAACCCACGACGGCCCAGAGACCACCAGAGGCCTCCAAGAGGCCCCTCAGAGGCCCCTGAAAGACCCCCAGGAAGCCCCCAGGAGGCCCCAACAGGGCCTCCAGAGGCCTCCTCCTCCTCCTCCTCCCTCCTCCTCCTCCTCCTCCTCCTCCTCCTCCTCCTCCTCCTCCTCCTCCTCCTCCTCCCTCTTCCCCCTCTCTCTTCCTTCCCCAAGTGTCCTCCCAAGGGTTTCCACCACGCCTGGGGGGAACACGCATTCCAATAGCTTAGCCAAGCTTTGGCCCAATGTTTGGCACATCGGCATTTCCAGAAAGGGGCGGCGGTGATTCGCCGTAGGCGTCTTCGACAACTGCGCTCCCGCCCAGGCTGCGAAGCGAGAGGCGTGGTCATCTTCGAGCCCCTTCGGGCGACCTAGATCTCTGAGCCCTGGCGCCTTCGACGCTCCGACGCATGCCAGTGCCTTTCTGCTGGAAGCATGCCGCCAGAGTCTCAGTGAGGCCCTCTGCTCCCCTTCCGGGCACACGCAGGGACGACGGACCCATCGGGGAAAGCACCCTCCGAAGCATGAAGCCAATGCCGCCCCCACTCTGTGCGGAAGCGGGGCCCGCAGCCAATCCACGCGCTTGAACCTGCACCCCTCCGGAGAGTGAACAACACTTTTAAGCTAAGAGCGTGCACTACAAGCTTTTTCTTACAGAGTCGTCCAGGTCCAGATGCACGAAAACTCGACGGACAAAAACACGTTCCAAAAGAACGCCCAGGACACAGTCCGTATCCTTGAGTTCCTGCAGAATATGGAGTCCATGATAGAGCTTATGTTTTTTCTAAATACTTCTGGTGGGTGTATGCCTGCGTTTCCTCAACGCTCGCGAAGGCGCCCCAATAGAGGCCTCCTGGATGGGGTCCAGGTAGATGGGGTCGGAGGATCGCGCCGCATCGCAAATCCATCGGCGATGCATCGTCGATGCGTCGGCGATGCATCGGTGACGTCGGCCGGTATCGGCGCCGTCTGCGTAGAGACAATCTGGCCCCACATCGAGCCGCATCGCCGATGTATCGGCGATGCGGCGCGATCCTCCGACCCCATCTGCTCGGAGCCCATCTGGGAGGCCTGAATTCTGGCAGGTGTATGCCTGCGTTTCCACGAAACTCGTCGGCGGCGCGCAGAGGGGGGTAGGGGGAGGGAGGATTGCTTCTCAGAAGGAGGCTGCTTCTACAGACAGGGCCCGCCCTTCTACGAAGCCTTCCCCGATACCCCCTACACCCCCTCTCTTGCCATCGCTCGGACGTCCGCTTCCCGTGCAATTTTTCGGTGTCGTGCGTGCTTTTTTTGGGCCAGATGGTCCAGGATGCTCCTCGATGATCCTCGCCAAAAAAGAAGTGCACACGTCGAAAGCGATGCCAAGAAGCTCGGCGCGGGGCCGATGATGGGTGCATGCCTGCGACTCCTCGACGCTCGTCGGCGGCGCGCCGAAGGGGGTATGGGGGGAGGGCGGGAGGCCAGGCCTTTTAGGAGCAGGCCGGCTCTCAGAAGGCGCGGGCCTCACAGCTACAGACAAGGCCCGCGCCTTCTAAAACCCAGACAGCTGGCCCCCGGAAGGGCAGAAGCAACCTGCTTCCCTTAAGTCGGGGGCGCGCAGACAGGGATTCGCGATCCATGGAGTTGGCGCAGACAGGGTCGCCAAATCCATGGATCGGGGGAGGTGCCCTCTCCAAAACGCGACCGGTGCCGCCTCGCTCGGCGGTGGAGATCCGCGATTTCCCATAGAAACGGGACCCGCCGCTAATCCACGCCCCCTTGATCCATGTCTGCGATCGCCTGACCCAGACATTCGGCCCCTGGAGGCAGAAGCAGCCTCCTTCCTAAGAGGCCTCCCCCCCTCCCCCCTATACCCCCCCCTCTGCTCGTGGTCGAGAATGGGTGCAAGCCTTTTTCGTTTCCTCGACGCTCGCGAGATTCGGCGACACGCCGGGGTGGGACCCTAGGCAAGAGTAAGGAGGAGGAGGAGGAGGAGGAGGAGGAGGAGGAGGAGGAGGAGGAGGATGAGGAGGAGGAGGCGGCGGAGCAGGATGAGCAGTAGGAGGAGCGTGACACTACCAGGAGAGTAATGGAGAATGGAGGAGGAGGAGAAGGAGGAGGAGGAGGCGGACGAGCACGAGGACGAGTAAGAGGATAATCGGTTAGACGCAGGAGTGACGCTAGGCAAGAGTAACCTTTGGTGCGCGGCTCCGCGGGGGACGCGGGGTGGCCAAGCCCAGGCGCGCAGGCAGGCCGCTGCTGTCGCATAGGCGCTGCGCGATCGGGGGGACCCCAACGGGCCTGCACCAAAGAGGTCACTCCGGCGAAGGGTCACTCCTCGAGCAGGGGATCGGCTGCAGAATTGATTTGCGGTCAACCCCTATAGAAGGATGGGTGGTAAGGGTGCAAGGGCCCTGGAAGACCATGTGAACGTTTTTCGAACGAGACTGGCCAGCGAAAGTCGCCAAGGATGGGCCGAGGAGGCAAGGATGCAAGGGCACCCTTGGGAAAATTGCCCATCCTTACTGTGCGGAGTTTTCCGCCGAGTGAACGGAACATCATGCGCCGACTGCTCCCTAGATCTGCTGAGCATCCTATGCATTTCGCGAGCCCGGCGGAAAAATCAGTTCTGGGGGGCAAGTCAATTCTGTAGTTGATCCCCTGTTCGAGCTCCTGCGTGCAGTCGATCTCTGCGCGTGGCCGATGGTGGGTGTGTGGGCCTGCGTCTCCTCGGCGCCCGCGAGGAGAGGCGTCCCAGGGCCGTCCCCGAGGCCCCGGACGTCCACTCCGTGGCATTTGTCGGCTTCTGCGCTGGACCCCCCTCCCTGGCGCGCGGAGCGCGCCAGGGGCGGCGCCGGAGGCGCCGCCAGAGGGGCCCAGCGCAGATCCGCGCAGATCCAAGAAAACAAATTCCCGGAATCGAGCTCAGCGCACGAAACAGGAAGTGGGCTGCTCCCCGGAAAGAGAGAAACAAACAGTTCCCGGAGCTCCGTTTTGGCAGCCGCGGGTTTGCCAGCCTTCGCCCGGCTTCTGAGGGAGAGAGGCGTCCCCTGGCCATCGCTCGGACGTCCATTTCCTGTGCTTTCTTCGGTTTCGTGCGTGGTTTTTTTGCCAAATGATCAGAGATGCTCCTCGAGGGTCCTCGCCGAGGAAAAAACGCACACGTCCGAGCGATACCAAGTCCCAAGGGCCGTCCCCGAGGCCCCGCCCCAGCTCCTGGAAGATGCAGAGGGCGGGCGGCTGGTCGCCCGCCTGCCCCTCGGCCCACAGCACCCCGATGCGCGCGCCTGCCGCCACCTCGAGGGAGGGAGCAAAAACTGCGCGCGCAGTGAATCGTACTGGTCCTCGTCGTCGTCGTCGTCGTCGTCGTCGTCGTCGTCGTCGTCCTCTCCCTTTTTTACGTGGGACACGCTTCGAGAACGAAGCTTGTAGCGCTCGTGTTCTCCTCCACCTCCACCTCCTCCTCCTTCTCCTCCTCCTCCTCTTCCTCCTCCTCCTCCTCCTCCTCATCAGGCGGAAGTGGGGGACGCTCGACGATCCCAATCGATCGAGGCTTGCCTGACGTAGAGAAGAGGATGAGGAACAGGATGAGGATGAGGATGAGGATGATGAGGACAAGGATGAGGGTGATGATGCTGATGCTGATGCAGATTATGATTACTGTATGTTGTTGATGATGCTGTTGCAGATGATGATGACGATGATGACGATGATGAGTGTGATGATGATGAGGAGGATAAGGAGGAGGATGAGGATGACGATGATGCTGCTGTTGATTATGATACTGATGATGTTGATGCTGATGATGATGCTTAGGACGGTAATGATAGTGCTGATGATGATTATGATGACGATGCTAATGATGGTGATCAGGAGGATAATTATGATGATTATGCTGATGCTGATGATCATGATTATTATGATTTTGATGATGCGCATGAATATAATGATGGTGACGAGGATGGTGGTGGTGGTGATGATGATGATCATGATGATGATGATGACACTGACAATGGCACTGGTGATGATCATGATGATGATGCTGCTGCTGCTGATGATGAAGATGATGATGACGATGACGCTGCTGCTGCTGCTGATGATGATGATGATGATGATGATCATCATCATCATGATGCTGCTGCTGATGAGGAGGATGGAGGAGGAGGAGGAGGAGGAGGAGGAGGAGGAGGAGGAGGAGGAGGAGGAGGAGGAGGAGGAGGAGGAGGAGGAGGAGGAGGAGGAGGAGGGGGAGGGGTCCCGCTCCCCGCCCCGACGGCGGTCAGGAATCTGTGCCCGGCGTGCCGCGGCGTCGGCGCGGGCGACGCGCCGGGCCTTGCCGGCGGGGACGGCGTGCCGCTCCGCTCCGCGGGGCGGGACGCCTCAGAGGGCTCGGGGCGGTGGCGTTCGGCGGCCAGGCCGTGGCCAGCGCGTCGCGCCGCGGCGTGGTGGGCCTGGGCCGGCGGAGCGACGCGCCCTTTGCCTCGGGCGCGAGTGGAGGCCAGGCGCCCGCGCCTGGGCAGCAGCGAGGCCGAGCGAGGGCCCGAGGAGGGCGAACGGGCGAGGGCCAGAGGAGCGACGGAGCGGCGGAGGGACAGCGACCGAACGGGAAGCCGAGGCCCACGAAGCGACAAGCCGACCAGCCGTCCTTTCGGACTGTAAGCCTTCGAAGGTCCGCGCGGCTCTCTTGGATCGGCGCTGGACCCCCCTTGCTGGCGCGCGCGGAGCGCGGGCGGCGCCGGAGGCGCCGCCAGGGGGCCCCACCTCAGCGCCGATCGGAGGACTCCGCGCGGGCGTCCGAAAATTAATGCTTGCGCTGGCTTTCTGCTCCACGATGCCAGGGAGCCCACAGAAAGGACGTACGCGCCCAACCACGTGCCTGAACACGGCCCCCCAGTCCCCAGTCCGCGAGACCAGCCTCGTGATACGAGCGTTCGCGCAATGCGCACTCTCGCAACCAGCATGGATTCATGTACGTGCTCCTCCCCCTCGGTCACGGGAGTCTCTCCTCCTCCTCCTCCTCCTCCTCCTCCTCCTCCTCCTCTCCTCCTCCGCCTCCTCCTCCGCCTGCTCCTCCTCCTCTCCTCCTCAACGTACTTTCGCTCCCGATGTGCTGCCTGCGACTTGGGCCGCCAGCACGAGGGCGGCACCGGGAACTCCCGCCCGTCGCAGAGGAGCAGCGCCCCGCGCCTCTCGTAGCCCACCAGCCAGGCCCGCTCGAGCTCGCGCGCCTCCTGGAGACAGCCTCCAACCGATATGACTTTTGCGATCCGCAGCCCCACGCCCAGACCCCCTTAGGTCATGAAAAAATCTCGACGGGATTTTTGTTCGCTCTTTTCGGCCTCTGGGCGCCTCTACTGGGCCTTGGGGGCTGTCAAAAAACGACATGGGGAATGGGTCGAGACCTCTGTCTGGGGGTCGATGTCATCAAAAATCATGACGTCGGGGGTCTGGTGGGCTCCCCACTCCATCCCCACTGTGCGTCCGGGGTCCGCTTCTGATGGGGCTCCGCCCAAATCATTGGATACCGGATGTTTTCGGTCGCGATCGGCAGCGACCGATCGGCACCCCAAATCGGCCGCACCCCCGGAACGCCCTCCGCGAGGCGCAACTGCTGGAAGGCACCCCGAGGCCAGAACGCCGC